AATTTTGGTACTTTTTAAAGCTGAGGGACAATTTTGGTACCAAAGTGACAAGTTAAGGGACCAAAATGGTACTTAAACCTTTTTTTTTTTTGGTTTCCTGCCCGGTATCCGGGGTTTCGCACCGATTAATCCAGACCTGACTCGCGTCGCGCACCTGAAAATGATGGGTGAGTCTCCCAACGAGGGCTGCTGCATGGTCTCGAACTCAAGACCTTGCTTAAGCTGGAATAAGCCGCGTACCACTTGATCCAACCCTTCGTTGGTGAGTAATTGGGTTTGAGTTTAGGTTTGATGGGTTTTGGGTTAGACTTTGCATTTCTTCAATTGAGTCCTTTCTCTCATCTTCTTTTCCAATCTTCTTCGTTAAATTTCCTTTTTGCCCCCCCATTTTTTTTTTTAACCTAACAAGTAAAACAAAGACAAAACATATTAGTAAAAATAAAAATAAAAATAAAATAAAATTCTATTAAAATTTGGGTTATAATAGTTGCCCATCTTTTCTTTTCTTTTTGTCAAGAATGAAAAGGAAAGACAAAAATAACTCAAATTTTTTTTTTTCAACTAAACAGATAAAGTAAAACTGGTCGAATGACCGAACAAGTAAAGCAAAAAAAAAAAAAAAAAGGGTTAGGAAACCACAACTATCGGATGACCGGACGAGTAAAGTAAAAACAGTTAGGAAATCGCAATGATCGAATTAACCGAAAGAGAAAGAATGAGAAAAGACAGATAGAAAATTGCAACGATCGGAGTAACCGAACGAATGAGATAAAACTACTAAACAGTCGCAACGATCGAATTGACTGAACAAGTGAGACAAAACGGTTAGCAAAACGCAACGATCAGATTGACTGAACGAATGAGATAAACGACTAGAAAATCGCCATGATTGGATTGACCAAACGAGTGAGACAAAATGGCTAGAAAACCACAACGATCAGATTAACCGAACGAATGAGATAAACGATTAGAAAACCGCAACGATCAGATTAATTGAACGAGTGAGATAAAATAGTTCACAAACCGTAATGATCGAATTGACCGAACGAGTGAGATAAAACGGCTAAAAAGCCACAACGATCGGATTAACTGAACGAATGGGACAAAACAACTAGAAAACCGCAATTATCGAATTAACCGAATGAATGAGATAAACGGTTAGAAAACTGCAATGATCGGATTAACTGAACGAGTGAGATAAAATGATTAACAAACCGTAACGATCAGATTGATCGAACGAGTGAGATAAAACGGCTAGAAAATCGCAACGATCAGATTAACCAAACGAATGAGGTAAACAGCTAGAAAACCACAATGATCGGATTGACCGAACGAGTGAGACAAAACAGCTAGAAAACCTCAACGATCGAATTAATCGACCAAATGAGATAAACAGTTAGAAAACCGCAACGATCGGATTAACCAAACGAGTTAGACAAAACGGCTAAAAAACCGCAATGATCGAATTAACTAAACGAATAAGATAAACTGTTAGAAAACTGCAACGATCGGATTAACCGAACGAGTGAGATAAAATGGTTAACAAACTGCAACGATCGAATTGACCGAACGAGTGAGATAAAATGGCTAAAAAGCCACAACGATCGGATTAATCAAACGAATGAGACAAAACGGCTAGAAAATCGCAATGATCAGATTAACCGAACGAATGAGATAAACGGTTAAAAAATAGCAAGATTAGATAAACTGAACGAATAGGATAGCAACGGTCAAACGACCGAGCAAGTTGAATTAAGATGGTTATATAACCACAATGGTTGAATGACCGAAAAAGTAAAGTATCAGTATGGTCGAATGATCGGAACAGTAAGGTATGAGTATGGTCAAATGACTGAGAAAATAGAGTATGAGTATTGTTGAATGACCGAAAAAGTAGAGTATGAGTATGGTCGAATGACCGGAAGAAGTAGAGTACCAATATGGTCGAATGACCGAAACAGCAGAATATGAGTATGGTCGAATGACCGAAAGGAGTAGAGTATAAGTATGGTTGAATGACCGGAACAGCAGAGTATGAGTATGGTCGAATGACGGAAAAAGTGGAGCATCAGTATGGTCGAATGACCGAAAAAGTGGAGTACCAGTATGGTCGAATGACCGAAACAGCAAAGTATGAGTATGGTCGAATGACTGAAAAGAGTTGCGTATCAATATGGTCGAATGACCGAAACAGTAAAGTATGAGTATAGTCGAATGACCGAAAAAGTAGAGTATAAATATGGTCGAATGATCGAAAAAGTGAAGTATCAGTATGGTCGAATGATCGAAAAAGTGGAGTATCAGTATGGTCGAATGACCGAAAAAGTGGAGTATCAATATGGTTGAATGACCTAAAAAGTGGAGCATTAGTATGGTCGAATGACCAAAAAAGTAAAATATGAGTATGGTCGAGTGACCGAAAGTAGAGTATTAACATGGTCGAATGACCGAAAAGAGTAAAGTATCAACATGGTCGAATTACCAAAAAAATTGGAGCGTCAGTATGGTTGAATGATGGAAAAAAGTAGAGTATCGGGGTCTAATGAGTGTAAGATGTAGCCAAAAGGCTAGATGAAAGTAATGATTGAAAGATCCGAGCCATGAAACATATACAAGATAAGGTTTTTTTTTTTTTTTGAACAGCATATACAAGATAAGGTAGAATAAAGAGAGATTAAAAAACTTCCCCGAACATATTGGATGTCCATATTTGACAATAGTTCGGTGTCCTTCATGTTGCACATTTATCAATAGGCTCGATGACATGCTTTGCAGAAAGTGTAGTGACTTGAGAACATCTCTAATTCACTGGGGAAAATTCTCGAATCATTGCAAGAGAGGATAAGCACCATGACCATTAAATTAAGCCTTTGCTTTTCTCTGTAACTTTCATTTTTTTTTTTAATTTTTAGATTTGTCAAGAAATTCAACAATTATATTAACTGAAATAAAGCATCATAACCAATCAGCATCCCAATCTAAACAAGGAAAAGAAGGCCAGGGCATTGATAATATGAATGGATAAAAAGAGAAGAGTAGAATGTGGATAATATGGATAGACAATGAAATTTCAAAAAGGATGTGATTTTGAGATAAACAAGATTGTTTTTTTTTTTTTTTGAAGTGCATAACTTTTGATGCAACAATTTTGACAAGGTTAGAAGACATTTAGGCTATAAAGCATTTGCTTCAAGAATTTATTTCTTTGCAACTCCACCAATCTAGTCTTTAGCATATGAGACAATGTCTACTTCCATGCCAAGGTAGACAAATCTAATCTATCTCCTTCCCATGAACTAACCTTCAATGTTTAGAAGACTGATCATAAACCACAAAGCTTTTAGCTATACTAACTGACTTGGACTCACTAGAGAAAGGATTTTTTTTTTGTTCCTTGACAGAGAAAGTTTCAAACCCTCAAATAAGGACTTTTTATAGGATTGTAATGTGGCCATGGGTTAGGCTATTATGAAAGAAAGGAATAAAGGCTCAAAATCCATATATTTCCCTCACATTTCTCTCTTCATGACCCCGGTCATTGATGTGGGTTAATAAGAAGAAAATCATCTTGGCTTTTCTGAATTTGGATGATTGCCTTTTCTAGCTCAAAAACAATGTTAACTATTTGGGATAGAGAAAGGAAGCCTTTCATCACTGGATCTTCAACTTTTGAAGTCAAGGAAACATTTAGTTTGCTAGGTCACCCTTTTCTTCCCTCTTTTCTTCTCTCTTTTCTTCTCTCTTTCTCTTTTTTTTTTTTTTAACGAAAATTCATGATCAAACTAAAAGCTGTTAAATTCTTTGATAAAGACTTTTATTGGCTTGTAATGTGGCTTTGGGTTAAGTTATCAAAAAGAAGGATATGAAGGCTCAAAAATCCCTTACCATAAGTATTTCCCCTTCACAATCACTCTTCACTCCCTCGGTTCATGATGTAGGTAAATTGACAAGAAAATCATCTCGGCTCTTATAATTTGGATGATTGCCTTTTCTTTAGGCTCAAAGGGGTGACTAAGGACAATGTAAAGTGTTTAGGATAAACAAACATGGCCT